TTTTCTCTTAGATAATGGAGCAATTGATTGCTCGTTTAGATGTGGCTATGTTTAATGCCATCCTCCGGGAATCCGCTGATGAAATACCAACAGATCCTATAGCTGATCCTATTAGTGATGCTGAGGTTCTTCCTATTCCAACGGGGAAAGCTAGTTTCGGTGCTGGAGCACAACTAAAAAATGCGGTGAGCATATTCCTATGTAGTCTTCTCTCACAAACAGAAAGCTTTTCACTCCCTTTCTCTGTTATTGAAGTCAGGTACAGTTATTACCGACACTAATCTAGTAATTTGAGATTCACATTATAGTAACAAATATTCCCATACTGATATGGTGCAGTTGGCAGATAGAAAAATATCAAGGGGGTTATATGTAAGTTTCAAGGATAACATAAGAGTTGCTAAAAAGAAAAAAATGTAATAAAATCAATTTATTCTCTTATATTAAAAAGCATTTTAAACCTTAACAAACCAAGCTGAAAACTAATATAGATATAAAATAATATTGAATATTGTAACTAAGAAAAAAATTTAAATCGTAAAAAGGTTTATTTGCACTTAGTATCAAGTTTGTAAAAATAGTATTTGAAATTACAATTGTTATTTTGATAATTAAAAATATAATAAAAGTAATAACATGATATTAGAAATACATTATTGATACAAAATTTTAAGGATACATTCTTATTTGTCGTATTATTTTTGTTGGAAGGAAACAAAAATTGGCATTTATCTTCGATCATTAACTATTACTATTTATTTATTTATTTATTTTTTTTTATGAAATATTTATTTTTTTCACTTCAAAATTCGTTTCGCATTATGTTATAAACATCACTTATTATGTTTGTTTTCATTTCAAACTATCGTACAAATTACGATTTTTGGTTTCAATATTCTCTTAAAAATATTAAAGTGGAAGTATTAGTTAGCAGATATAACTTTGTGAATGATTTAGTAAAAAACAATCATTCAGTATTACATGTAAATTTTTTATTTAAAAATATTTTTATTCTTTAAATAAAAAAATATACAATCTATCAATAAAAATATATTTTTGTTATATATAAAGATTAGTGCAAATGTAATTTTGTTAACTTTGGTAACAAAAATATTTTTGTTAAATAAGAGTAGTTCATATTTAGTATTGTTCGGGAAACATATAAGTTGTCTATGTTTTTTTATATATAAAAGTATCTTTAATCTTGTTGTTGTTCATGCTTGTTATTCAAATAAATTTTCATATTTGTTATATATAAATTACCGTTATTCTTAGACAAAAATAGAGTTAAAATATATAAATACAAAAAAAATGAAGTACAAAATCAACTTGAAAAAAAAAAAAAATTAGATACTGAAATCACTAGGTTTGTTTATAAGAGACCAAAAGTTGAGTTAATATATAAGTATAAATGTTTTCAAAATTAAGTTAGAAATGTAAAAATATAATAATTATTTAGTATATTTTATAATAAATGAATAACATTATTACTTTATATTAAGATAGCATATATGCATAGTAAAATTTTTACATTTAATAAGATTTTTAAGTTATTTCTTCCATATTAGTTATATACACTTCAAGAAAATTTTAAGAAAGATATGAAGGGACCCAATGTGGGTCCGTCCATGAGAAAATGTATTCAGTATTAAGAAAGATTGAGCTTTGATTCAAATTTTACACGTTATTGACAAAAATGAAAAAAAAAAAATCTCAATGTGACAATGCAATAATCGAAAGATAAGTACAACGTTGATTAGCTTTGAAATAACAATTAAAAACTAACCCCTAACAATGATAGTGACAATGATGATCATGATTTCAAACAATGGTGAGGCACCATTAATTACGAAATGAAAGATAAAGAAGACTTTGCTAACAATCGACAATCGCGGTAAAACTGATTGATTTCATTTTTGGATTTTTAACAAAAATATATTATTTATTTTTGTTTAATCATAGCTTTAAATTAGTACCATTATAGATTACATTTGTAAATGTATGTAATTTATTATATGTGTATTATTAAGCTAATGGAAATTTTTAAATATATAAATACAAATTCAATAAACATAACTTTTAAACCATAAAAAATATTAATAATCACGTGCAACGGACGTGCATCTCCTAGTTTCATTAAATTCACGTGTTGCATGTGACAGATTGGGAATTGGTCTAGATGGCTGACAGATCTATTTGGTATTGACGACGATGATTTGCATGAAGATGCGGATGAGACGACACCGCATGACACACCATCAAAGTCTTTTCACCACCTAAACGCACTAAGCGATCTTATGATGCTTCCCAAGGACTTGCTACTAAGCCAGACAGTTCGAAAAGAGGTTTTACTTTGAGCCACAATCGATATTTTTCGATCTTGATCTATCATCAATACCCTAAAAATTGTTTTTTCCTCTTAATTTGGTCATAGGTATGCCCTACATTTGGCCCACCACTGATAAGAAGGGTTCTCAGCTTTTTCGTCCCGGATGAGTTCTGCCCCGACCCAATTCCGAATGTTGTGCTTGAAGCCTTGAGCTCTGCGGTTTGTCATCTGCATTTTTTTCTTCTCCTTTTATTTAGAGCATTATTCTTGCAGGATTACTTGTGTTTATGTCAGCTGCTGACTGTCAATGGAACTTAGATTAAATATAAACAAACTAGGCCAGAAACTACTTTAGAGCACAACTATAATAGGGAATGAAACAAAAGAAAGGTACCTTTTAAGAGTACAAGTGCCCCCCTTGTAGGGGTGTGTTTCTATTACAAATTGCCTCTTTAATAGATGCAACTTTTAAATAGTAACATGTAACAAGAAGCTTTTGTACTTGATGAAATGATATATATGCACACTAGTATTTTTTTGGTTATCCTAAGTACTAATACTCAGGTGGTAATCAAACTCCATACATTATTTTCCTAGGATTCATTCGATTCTGAGGACGGTTCAATCATGAATTTCCCTTGCGCCTCGGCTCCTATTGTTTATCAACCACCGCAAGCCGACTCGGTTGCTATTACCTTAGGAGAATTTGATACCCAACCACATCTCGCACGCAGCCGATCATCGGTTCTCAAAAAATCACAGACAAGTGACGATGAATTGGAAGAATTGGACTCGCCTCTAAAATCTATCATCCTCGATGGTTTTCAGGCAGCGCCTTCTTCAGTAAAATCCGGCTGGGTGTCGAAAGAGAATGGAAGTCGAAATGCGCTGAGGTATCAACTGCTTCGTGACGTCTGGATGGAGTGATTGATGAACGATTGCTAGCTATGTTTTTTGTGCTTTCGTATGAATAACAAGGTGCTCTCGGTGAAATATTTCTCGGGATGCTCTTGCTACTTTGTTGGTGTTGTACAGAGGGAAGGGTGTTTTGTAGCTTAAATCTGACCCTTATGCTTTTGCCTTTGCAAAGTGGTGTGTGGAATGTATGTGTTTACAATTGTTGGACTGTTGTTTGATGTCTTGTAATTAGCTGTTTCCAGTAATTACTATGAGATTGCTTTTAGGTATAGTGAAGTTTTCATCCATATATAAATTTTGGCGTTTGATGCAAGTTTCTGTGAAGGAGAATGATATAGCCATATTGTAGCATAACTGTTCAAGCATCAGTTACCCGGTCGAAGAGTAGGCATGTGAGTCGGTTTTTTGGTACTCGACATCAACGAATCGACTTCCATGAAGTCGACCTTTCTCTCAAACTTCCTAAAAGCTATCCTCAGCCCTACAAGCTCCAGGTACTTACCCGCCTCAGTCGACCTTCAGAAGTCGACCACCATAAGTCGACTTCTCCTAGAAGGATGGATAATATTTTCATGACCCATCGACGCTTAAGAAGGACCTTAGTCGACTCGACGGCGTACTAGGTCGACTTAAGACGCCTCGAGGCCCTGAGATCTCCGACGACTCTTACATACTTCAAC